TGAGGCCGGCAGCCCCGGCCCGGGTCACGAGGGCGAGCGGAAGCACCAGGGCCGGCTCCGGTCGAGGTGTAACTTCTCACACCCCCTCTCAACGTGGCCTGCGAAGGCATCTTTTCCTGCTGCTTTATTCCCTTTAAAAGCGACTTGAAACTTTGTCAGATGTTTGTTGGTTTATTTTTTTGGTATTAGAAACACAGATCTCCTCCCCCCCGGGAGACTCCGACTGAAGAAGCAGCAAAAGAATAGAAAATAAGAGTTGAAAAACAGAAAATGCTTTTCTTTTTTTAAGTTTTTTTTTTATTGGACTGATTGACATTGTTTTTGATCGTAATCCATATAATTTAAATGACTGCCGTGTGCTTTGGAGAAAGGGTATCTTTGTTAAAGAGGGTGCTCCCCTGGCTCTTCGCTTCAGAGCGCATCCTTGAACGTCGGCAAAGGTTCGCGGTGGAGAGCAGGCTTCTCATTCTTGATGGTTCTGTGGTAAAAAGACAAATGTTTTTAAAGGATACCTTTCTTTATCCCCTTTTGCATTGCAAAAAGGGGGAAATGGCACAAACCTGTTTATTAGAAGAATTCCTCTCACAGGGGCAGAAGAAGGGCAGAACAGTCCTTCATGGGCTGTCCGAGAGGACCTCAGCCTTGCCTGACAAAGTGCCAGGACTTCTGATGGTTTTTTGTTTGTTTGTTTTTGGTAGAGGACAGACAGACAATTGCAGCTGGGTGCTGCTGGAGACGAGAATGAAATGTGAGCAGCCCTAGGTTTTTAGTTTTCCTTCGACTTGCTTGTAACATATGTCTTGTCTCTTCCAATTGAAATGTTTGTTTAGCTAAACAACCCACAAGCAGGTGGGAGAAGAAGTCTTCTGTGAAAGCCACAACCCTCCTCCTCCGCAGGAAGACTGAGACAGCTTCAGCCTTACTCTTTCAGCACAGACAAGGAAACTTTACTTCTTATAGCTGAAGGTTAGAAAGAAAGGGGCGGAAGAGAGAGACAGGCTCTGGAGAGCTTTCTCTAACATAAATGCTATCAAGAAGCAAAAGGCCAAGACCTAACATCTTTCTCCCGTTTTAAACATCATCTTTATCATCTCTCTAGACTGAGCACACTAGGACGGGCGCGTGCTCTGCGAAAGGACTTGGGCTGTGTTGCTCTGTGGCTGGGGTCTTATCTCGGCCGGGCAGGAGCCCTCTGGGGTCCTCGTTGCTGGCTGTGTTGAGGGGCCGGTGCGATGCATGGAGCTCAGCTGTCCTACTTTGAGAGTGCGGAAATGAACATTTCCGAAGGGAGAGAGCTGGCCCTGCAGGGTCGTGTGGGACCAACACGCTGCACCAGTGCCGCCTGAAGCGTGCCTTTCCTAGAGAAGTGGCTGTTTGAACTCCCTCTGGGGAGGGGAGCATCGTTTGGAGCAGGCAGCAGACCAGTTCGAATCCTATTAGTGGCCGTATTCAGCTGGCTGCTGGCGTGCCTGTAAGACGTGTGCGTGACTGCAAGGCAACCGTGTCTCTGACCAGTTGTGGTTCTAGCAAGAATTTTCTGGCAGTTCTGCTGCTGCTAGTTTTTCATTGCTTAGCCTGTGTGAAAATGAGGACCGAGGAGATCAGCGCATGCTCTCAATTCTTAATTTCCTATAAGTTAATTGATTTTTCAGTGCTAGCATCCAACACCGGGCACCCATATTGCCCTTGTTCTGCTATCCTATTTGCACTCTGCGATTTCTTCTGTATGTGCCAGGCTTAACTGGTTCTCTTTCTGCCTTCAGCCCAGTTAAGTAAATGATCATGGCTTTCTCCTAATACTAAAGCAGCAGGCAGTCTAACCAACCGAAAACTTTGTCACTCGTTGTCTTGCGTCCCTTGAGGTCCATGGCTGTGAAGTCCGAAAGAAGAGCGGCTCTGAAAGATTCATCAGTAGGGAATTGCTGAAGTGCTACGGAGAGGACTAGGAAACGGACCATCTCTTCGGAGCTCAGTACGCATTCACGTCAGCCTCCTCTGTAAGGTGCTGCGAGTTGGCTCCCAGACAGTGAGCGACTGCACTGGCCCTTGTGAGGTTAATGCATTACGTGCCACATACAGGCAAGATCTAAAGCAGAGAGACATCCTGAAACCTGGCCCGAGGCTTCATGACACGACCCTGGCATCTGGGACAATTGCTCAGGCAAATGTTGTTGCTGGTTTGTAGGGCCGAGGATGAGCTTCCCGATTCCTTTGGAGAATAAAGGCCCAGTCTTGGTCCCAGGAACTTGGGAAGTCCTGAAAGGATTGTTTCTGTGCTTAGATAAATAGCTGTCCTGTTCCTTCGTTCCTTTTTTTCAAATGCATAGTTTCTGCCTGCTCCTCTCCATGTATCAGGTCTTTGCCTTTCTTCAGTCGTGCTGGAGCCCAGATCTCTGGTTTGTATTCCATGGTCTTTGTTTTTGTCTGTCACAACCCTGAAACTGCCCTGGCAGGCTCTTAAGTGCTTCTGTTGCTGCAGTTGACAGGAGCAAAGCCTTCCAGGCTGCATTAGTGCAGCTTCAGGCTGGCAGGCAACAGATGGAAAATAAACTAGTTCGGGAGCTCTGGGGATAGTAATGGTGCTGCAGGCAATAGAGAATAAACACAGCTAAACAGCAGAATACAGAGTATTTATCCTTGCAGCATTAGGCTTTTACTGGGGTGCCGGGGAGGCTGCCCCAAATGATGGCTCACTGGGGACCTGCTGCAGGCTGGCAGGGAGAGATGTGGCTTGTCTGACTTGCTCACTATGTTTCTGCCTTCTCACACCAACACAGAGCTCTTGTTCTGCATGCAAGTTGTCCCTTTCTTCCCTTCCATGCTGCAGGGTGGAAAAGACTAGAAGAATCTAGTGTTTTTCTGGGGCTGCTCCAAGTGGGACGTTGCATTTCAGTGGTATTTTCCACTGGAGGATCTCCATGGGCTGTAGTTAGCGGGGCTTGGCAGACTCTCCTGCCAAGCATGCAGAGGGAGAAACTGAGGCACAGAGTGGCTGGGATCTTGCCCAGGCAGGCCATGGTCTGCGTAAGTTTTTGGAGAAAGCCATGGGAGTTGCGGCTCGCCAATGGATAGCAGAATGGGCTGTCAGTGCTCCCTGCGGAGCAAGGAGCCAAAATGTTTGGTCCAGTCCAGAGTATGGAGTCCTGGGGGGGGGGTTCTGGCTGGAGCAGGGCCAGCTTGGGCGGCAATGTTAGCACGGATCTCGGCACCAGTTTAAGGTAAGTTGTTTTTTGCAGAAGTACAAGGGCTCAGTTCACCTTCGTGTTTTTGTAACACGAATAATCATATATTTGACTGCCTTTGTTTCACTGCGGGTTACTTAATTACAGAAGTCGGGATCTCTGGGTGCCCTGAACACTTGCAGGTTTAGGACTAACTGTCTGGGAAAGTTGGAAATTTTTCTGATGACAGACTTTGAGGATGACTCTGAGCAAATGATTCAGTTTGAATTGCTCAGCCAGATGTAGTTTTAATATGCTCATGCCAACAGTTCCTGGACACCGATCCCTATTGTAAATAGCACAAAACCCTGCCAAGGGGTATTAATCTTTCCAATTGATGGCTGTGTTTGTGTGCTGTAAGAATGTAGATTAACTCTGAAGCTGAGAGGGGCCTGAATGAATTTCTGTAAGAGGCTGGAAAGAAATCTCATTTACCTCTTCTTCCCGAACTAGGAGCTGGCACTGAAGTCTCTGGGAAGCGAGGGGCTGTTTCTCTTTTCTTCTCTGGACACAAACAACGATCTGTACCTCAGTCCAGAGGAGTTCAAGCCAATAGCTGAGAAGCTGACGGGTAGGTATCTGTCTGCCTTGTAGACCTCTCCACACAGGGCGAGCAAAAGCCAAAGATCTTTATATGCGCTCAGCAGTTCTTATTCGTGTCTTACTTTTTTCGGATGATGAGAGTCTGCTAAGCTTTACGTGTTTTTGGAACAGCTTAAGCACTAGACACCGCTTTCACAAAGTGCGTTTTTCGTAAGACTGACGATCCCATTGCTGGACTAGTAAAGTACATAAGTGACTTTGTCTAGAGCTTAAAGGGGATTTGGGAAGGGTAAGTGCAACAAATGCAGCTCAGACCAGGCAAGGCCAAAACTGTTAGTGGGTCATGGTGCTTCATTCATGCCCTCCTCTGGCTGTAGCAGTCTCTCTCGATGGCAATTGCGAGAGCTCGTGTTTGGAGACTGTATCAGCATGTAGCAAATGTCTCTTGATGGTACCAAGCAGGAAGAAGTGTGGTGGTGATAATGTGCAGGCGAGCTGACAGTACAGTAGAAAAACTGAGAGTTATTTGCTTATGCTGTAATGAATTGGCTAAAGTATGTGTGTCTGTTCCCTCCTAGGTGAAATCAGACTGCTGAATGGTGCCATGGGCTTTAGAGTGTTGCTCACTAAGAGGAGGGGTCCTCTGTAATCCGTGTAGCAGAGGCTCATCTCTGGGGCGGGTCTGAGTTTGCCATTACGTACAGCATAGTGACAGCTGGGAAACTACAAGTGCTCCTGGATGTACCAGGATACACGTATAATCACTTCATCATTGCTTAAAAGGGGAAGGAGGGGAAACAGCTGCTTAAATCCCTGTCCCTTTGTCTAGGGGTTGCTCCCATCTCAGAATTTGAAGAGGAAGAGACGCCAGATTCAAGCGGGGAGACGTTGTCCATCGTGGCAAAATTCCAGCCTTTGGTCATGGAAACGATGACAAAGAGCAAAGACGGTTTCTTAGGAGTAGGTATCACGCAGGCTGTGTATGACCAGAAATGCCAGGATAAGCACATGTCCTGTGGGTTGGTGACATCACCAGGAATGAACACTAGCAAGTTTGGGAGGGGCGGATGGTCTGGCTGGAGCCAGTGGGATTTGGGGTCTTCAGTGAGCAAGCTCACTCCTTTCTGTAGTCTTTCATTGTTTTCTAGTGGCCTTGCAGCTCTTAAAAGTGTAGAGGAAAGTTTCCATGCGTGGCCTGGAAAAGCACCACAGGCTGCAGACCTCTCTGTGCAAGGACTGGTCCCATGGGATTTGCCATGAACCCCGCCCCCTCCCCCCCCCCCAGCTGCATTGTTTCACTCGTGGCACTTTTGGTTGAAGTTTTCTGATTTGTTACTGTCGGTGAGTGATTACCTGTGACCAGCATCTTGGGCTCAGAGGTGCAAATTGATACCTGGGTAGTCAGAACTGTTCTCTAGCAGGGCGTCTTAGCTTGGATCCAAGGTGGTGTGAAGGCAGCAGGATTAGTTGCACATGCAGGCTGGCTCTGTGCGTTCACCAGCACTGTGCCCGAGCTCTGTTACGCCCTTCCTGGGAAGCCTGAAGAAGAAATTAGGGAGAGTTCTCTTGGAGCTAAGTCCAAAAGCAGTGGTGTTATGTGGCATGCCACCCGCCCACTTGTTCCCTGTTACTCACATAACAGAAGGTCGACAGAACTATTTGGTGGTGTTTGGAGTGGTGGGAAGAATGTAAAACGTGAGATATAGATAATTTCCCCCTACCTTCCACATCCTGCTTCTACCCATCAGCATTACTGCACGTTTGAGGAGTCTAGCTGAACAGCTCCTGTAAATTGGCTCTGTTGCTCTCTTTTGCTCACAGATTTCTCATGTCGCACTGTCTGGGCTGAGGAATTGGACCGCCCCAGTAGCCCCTATGAGCGTGATGTTTGCCAGTCAGTTCAAAGCCTTTCTTCCCCCAAAGAATAAACTGGATCTTGGGGATCTGTGGTGGATAATTCCTAGTGAATTAAACATCTTCACCGGGTATCTTTCCAACAACCGATTTTACCCTCCACCTCCCAAGGGCAAAGAGGTGAGATATGTACCATGCCTTCTCTATACCTGAGAAGTTGTTTGTATAAACGTTCTTTTGTGGTATTTGTGCCATAGACTGAGATCACGTTTGCTTCTGTAATAAGCAGGGTTGTGGTAAGCCAGTTCCTGGGCCTCCAAGGAAAGCTGGTGTGGCCCCGCAAGGGTTTAGGGCTGTTGGGAGTGCAAGTGGATGCTGGCTGTAGTAGTTTTTCTTGATCCTGCGTTAGTTGGACGTGCCTCAGTACAAAAGGCTTTGTAGCCCAGATAAATGGAGGAATGGAGGGAATTCCTGGAGCAGACAAGGCTGTCATGTTATATCTCCCTGGACTTGCTAAGGCAGCAAAAAGGCTTCACCGTATAGGCAGGAACCCCATCGTCTAAATCAGAGGTAAAACTGAAAGCAGACGAAAGCAGTAGGTGTCTGTCGTGGCCAGATGAGGCTGATTTATTTCATCTTGCTTTAAGTGTTTGGATTATTTTAGGCTAGGTTCTCCAAGACAGGGAGGAGAGAGGCTTATTCGGAAAGCCCTTGTAAGAAGTGATTGTGTCTTGTAAAACAGTTGTTCTGTGCTGCCCCAGAGGTGGGGCACTTCATTGACAAGTGAAACGATGTGTGTACGTGGTCTGTAAAATCGGGCTTATATATCGCTGTCCCCTGGGGTGCCCAGGTAGGTGTTAGTGATCACGTAGCTGATATACCTCCAGAGCCTGGTGTGTTTATTGATTACATACGCATTCTTTGAAAGTCTTAAGTAGTATTGATGGATACAGCCTCACAGAACAGTTTACCATACTCGGACATCCCCTCGACTGGGATGATGAAAACTTGCAAGCAGTGGGAATAGATTTGTTTTAAAAAGCGATCTCTTGCTTTATCTCCTTGTTTTGTGATGAAGTAGGTCTCTAAGCCAGTTTTTAAGTCAGAGCAGTTATCTGACCTTCCTGATCTGGTGGGGAGTTATTTTGGAGCTGCAGCTGACTGTGCTAGAGGAACTGTTCTCTCTTTTGCTCTCTTACAATTCTTTCCTTAGGTCATAATTCACAAGCTCTTGAGCATGTTCCACCCACGGCCCTTCGTAAAAACTCGCTTTGCTCCCCAAGGAGCTGTGGCCTGCATCCAAGCCATCAGCGCCTTCTACTACACCATAGCCTTCAGGTAAGGGCTCCCAACCTGGCCTTGTGGGACCATGGGTCTTGAGGGCCTGGGAACACTTCTGAACTCGTTCTGCATCTCTGGGGAGTGGAGAAGGCTGCTGTAAGCCAGTGGCAGGGTGCTCATGTTCTTGCATGTGCAGGCATGTTCCCATGCCTCCTGCCTGGGAGGGAGATGAAGCAGTTTGAGGAAGAAGGTGGTTTTCAGCCAGCTCTTTCCCGTATGTGATACTTGGCTGATGCCTGAAGAGGGCACTCGTGCTCCTGGTGTCTCTGAGTCCATGGTGAGGCAGAGACTGTCGTCCACATCCAGGACAGTGGCCTTTCTTGATAACCCTTGATTTAGAAATGCCCCTGGTTGAATGGGAAGAGTCTGATTAGCAAGGAATTTGTTAGGTTTGGCTTAATCGGGGGATGGAGCATTTTCTCCAAAGGGGAAATTCTGGGGAATTGTTCTCTTGTTTAACTGGGAATGTTACCCACAGCTCTTGTTTGCCAGATCAGGCTGGAAGGGAGACTGAGGGAGTTGTAGTCTGTTCCTCTGCTTCAAGCAATGATAAATACTGTAGTTTGGCCTTCCCAGACAGACGCTTGTTGCTCAGATCCAAAAGCCACTAGTATCGGAGACTCTCCTGACCCAGGGCATCTGCTCCAGACCTTTGCCCTCTTTAGTGTGTGGCATGAGAAGCTTTCTGAACTGAACTGCTCTGCTGCAATTTAGCTTCATGATTTCTGGGGCCTGGAGGTCACTTCTCCCTGCTGTCATCTGCAGTGCATGGTCTGTTCTCTCCTCCCAGCTCTGCAGCTGATGGCTCCCTTTTCATTTCAGGATCCATGCTGAGTTCCAGCTGAACGAGCCACCAGACTTCCCCTTCTGGTTTTCTCCAGGCCAGTTCACAGGTCACGTCATCCTCTCCAAGGATTCTTCCCATGTCCGAGAGTTTAAGCTCTTTGTCCCTAATAACAGGTACAGCCATTTCTCTCTCTTCGTGTGTGTTGAGTAGAGACTTGAGGGTTGCTATAAGCAAGGCTCGGTGAAACCCAGGATCTCTGGGATCCTGCCCTGTGCAGAAGTGGGAGCTATGCATGGGAGGAGGCTCATGGGCTTTTTATACGAGGATATGGGTGCAGTAACAGTCCTGAGCAGAATGGTGTCCCTTGCAGTACGTGGGTTTTGTGGGCCATGTGGGGAAGGCAGATCTGGGGTCTGAGCTTTGGACAGGCTAATTCTGCTCTTTGCTTATCTGTTTCCCTCACACATCCCTCTCTGCCAGCGGTCATCATGTCCTCAGTTCTGTAGATATAACAGTGTCCTAAACTGGTTCTGATGCAATTTTTTCAGGAGCAGCTCTGTGTATTAGTATCAGTAGGTCTGGGGGGCATCTGGCTTGGTTGAGGCAGGGAAGGACAAGGACAGAGATACCGTTAGGGGATGGGGGCACGGAGTTGTGGTTGAGGATGGATGTCCTTACACAGCCTGGCTGCAGTTGGCACGTGCTTCAGCTCTGCATGTCTGAACCTGAGTTGTCCTGTGCCAAACCACTTCAGTGAGGGAGGTACCTGCAGCCCCATGGGAAGACGCATGGTAACAGGGGGATTTAAGTTGTCCAGCTATTGCTCTAGAGACAGGCAGCAGCCTCTTTGTTAGTCGCACTGCGGCAAGCTCACATTTGCAATGCATCCTGGCTGCTCCACTTGTCATGTCCCAGCAGTGCTTTGGGCTGTGTCAGGGACTTTTGCAGATGTTGAATACCTGTTGCGAGCTGCGGGAGACTCCTTGGGTGTCTGTGTTGGATGAGCTGATGCTTTTCAGCAAAGTCTCTTGAAAATCCGAGTGAAATGAGCTCTGCAGCTGTCTGTAAAACTGTCAAAGCATCTCTACCAGTCGCTGAGGTTTCCTGGCCTATTTCAGGGTCTGATTCACTTGCCAGTAACTGTCACCTGTACTTGGAGCATGGGAAGGGACAAGCAAGGTGTGGAGAGGGAGTCCCTGGAGATCTCTGCCTGGCTTGAGGCACTGGAGTTCAGCAAAGCCTGATGCTCTTGTTGCAAAATATTTTTTCACTTGGTGTTTTCCAGGTTAACGTTTGTATGTGTAGCTTCGCACTGGCACATTACTGCTCTCTGGCAAGCAGCTGGAAGAGTTTTCAGGGAAGAGAAGCTTCAAATCTCTTTGCCCATGACGGCTGGAGTGAAAATTCTATTATAACATTACCCTGGCGACTCAGTCCCTATGGTTCTGTCGGCACATTTGTTACAGCAAGCAGACGCTTGTGGCTCGGCCAGCAACTTCTTACGAGGGCCTTTTTTGCTTCCAGAAACCGCTTTTAAAAGTTGAACAGCATCAGAACATGCAATTTCAGGGCTGGGAGGAAATGGGGAGCAAATACACCTCTCTCTTCTTTACTTTAACAGTACTCAAAGGCATGAACGCATTTGCCCAGATTAAATTTGCCCACATCATCCCGGGCCCTGATCCAGCCGGATCTAGTGTTGCTGGCCTTGTGCAGGGCACTCTGTGATCTCCAAGCAGCCGGAGTCTCTGGGCTTTTGTGCTTACCCTGCAAGAGGAGCGTCGGATGTTCTCATTAGTCTGTGGTTTCCCATGCACACACAGCTTTAGCCTCAGGTAACTCTGAATCTGTTGGGTTCTCCTTTCAGGTCTCTGAATGTTGATATGGAGTGGCTGTATGGGGCAAGTGAAAGCAGCAACATGGAAGTGGATATAGGTTACCTGCCTCAGGTCTGTAATTGCTCTGTCACCTGCATGTGTGCAGCATCTTGGCAAGGACTTGCCTTGCCTTGCCCCTGAGTTGTATAAGCTCAGCTATCCCTGTTCTTAAAAGCGTTCTCTTGTATGCTACAGTATAATATTTCTGATCTGTGTATGTCTTCTGCAGCAACGTGGCTCACTATTGCCAGCTCTTGTGGGCTTTTTTTTTTTCTTCCCCTCGTCTGTGATGTGGGTTGAATCCCAAGCTCCTGGAGTCACAGACATGTGGCGTCATGGGAGTTTCCCTTTATACAAAAAATTGTCTGAGCTGCTGCAGGGGGAGAGCGGGGGCTGAACCCAGGCTCTGAGCCGAGAGGGGTGTAAGAAAAACAGTGTCTCTGGATTTAGAAATTGCATGAAGTTTTTCCTTTATTTTGTGGTAACTTCAGCTCAAGGGATGGGAAATGGAAGTCATGATCTTGAATGCCTGAGGTTAACAGTCTCATCTTCTCCTAAACGATATCCATGTTTCTTTTTAATTCTCAGAAGTCCTGAAAACAGACCTACCAAATAATTTCAGATGTACAAGAACGCTAAGTTACAAGGAAGTCCCTGAACAGCTTTCCCTGTTGCACCCTCTTGTGGCTAGCTGAGGACTGTATAAGGGCTGTGCAGGTGGTATGAACAAGAGCTTCAAGCTAGCCCTGCCAGATCCCAAAAGTTTTAAGAATCTGGTGTCCCACAGTCAAAAATCTTCCACTGGGAGGATGGCAACACAGAAAGAACGAGTCTGTCATGCATTCCCAATCTAGACAGCACAGACATACCGTAACAGGAGGAAATAAGATTGTGTTCCTGGTATTCCCCAATAAAACACGTCTACCTCTAGTGAAGTGCAGCCCCAGGAAACAGAAATCACGTTGATGATCTGTGTCTTCATTAGAAGCTGCACAGGTCTTATTTTGCATCTTTATCTGGTCCTGCAGTATCGGAAAGCCGGGAGTGATATAGCAAGAATTTCTAACTCTGAGCCTGTTTTTCTGCAGATGGAGCTAGAATCGACAGGGCCTTCCATCCCCTCTGTGATCCATGACGAGAATGGGAATGTGATTGATAGCAGGGATCCCTCAGGGGAGCCCATTCAGTTTGTGTTTGAAGAGATAACCTGGCAGCAGGAAATCCCCTGGGAAGAGGCAGCCCAGAAGCTGGAATTGGCCATGTATCCGTTTAAGAAGGTGAGGAAGGGGCTGTGCTCTGTCTTCCATGGCACATCTGTTTGGAG